CCAAGTTCCGGGACTCCTCTCTCTGTTGTCTCCCTGTGCACACGCTGGTAGCCGTTCGATACATGTTTCTCACAAGCGCCAGTCTGGAAGAAAAAAAAATGGAAGCCAGTCTTCTTTTGGTTTCTCTCGGGTGAATTTAATATACTCTGACTGTGTGTTCAACAACTCGAAACATCTGTCGATTTCTTCTTGCGCTGAACAAATGACCAAGCAGACATCTATATATCTACAGTAGAGTAACGGACCGAGGTCGATTACTGGCGCTTCCACCTTAGACATGAATGCAATGGCAAGGCTTGGAGCCAGTCGTTGTCCCATTACCGGCCCTCTCATTTGTGCGTAATACCTCCCGGACCATCTGAAGATTGAGCAGTTCAGGCACTCCTTTAAGAGTGTCATCAACTGCTGAATCGAGAAGTCGTACATATTTATTGCTCCATCGTGTTGTATAAGGAGCNAGTCGTTGTCCCATTACCGGCCCTCTCATTTGTGCGTAATACCTCCCGGACCATCTGAAGATTGAGCAGTTCAGGCACTCCTTTAAGAGTGTCATCAACTGCTGAATCGAGAAGTCGTACATATTTATTGCTCCATCGTGTTGTATAAGGAGCTCGTTTATGGCTTGCATAGCGGAGTCATTCGACACGTTCGTATAGAGGGCAGTGACGTCGAAGGACTCCACCACGAACGCGCTGTTGGGTCGCGCGCTACGTAGACGATCCAGGAACATTTGGGTGGTACATTACATGTTACATTAAAACGGCTACATTACGAAGTGGTATCGAAAGCCAAGTAGTAAAAACATCCTAGTTCATTACCTCTCCTCTCATCCCTCTCACACGAAAAGGGCGCTTGTGAGAAACATGTATCGAACGGCTACCAGCGTGTGCACAGGGAGACAACAGAGAGAGGAGTCCCGGAACTTGGCACGGCAAATAGCCATTTTTAATGGCTACGAAACCGTAGCTCCAAATAGGTGTAGAGGAAACCACAGGTACCCCAACGATAACTCTAGCGACAACAAGGTCCCGTTTATACTGCCCTTCATTTCAAATGAAGTAATTGTAGCTATAAAACGCTGTTTAAGAAGGGCCAGTCTAGAGAATTCGGTAACGATAATCGAAATACCACCGAATAATCTAAGGCGCCAGCTAGTTCGTAACCGCCTATACGACCGTCTATGTGCAACGCAAAATTGCATAATTTGCCCCAATGGTAGAGACGGTGACTGCATGAGTTCGGGTACAGTCTATCTGATCTCTTGTAAAGCGTGCGGGGACGAATACGTTGGCGAAACGGGTAGGCCACTCTGCATACGTATAAAAGAACACCTAGTCGGTAAACGTAAGCTAAGTACTCCACTAGGTACGCATAGCACGCAGAAACATAACGGAGAAGATTTTGAAGTNTTTTAATGGCTACGAAACCGTAGCTCCAGATAGGTGTAGAGGAAACCACAGGTACCCCAACGATAACTCTAGCGACAACAAGGTCCCGTTTATACTGCCCTTCATTTCAAATGAAGTAATTGTAGCTATAAAACGCTGTTTAAGAAGGGCCAGTCTAGAGAATTCGGTAACGATAATCGAAATACCACCGAATAATCTAAGGCGCCAGCTAGTTCGTAACCGCCTATACGACCGTCTATGTGCAACGCAAAATTGCATAATTTGCCCCAATGGTAGAGACGGTGACTGCATGAGTTCGGGTACAGTCTATCTGATCTCTTGTAAAGCGTGCGGGGACGAATACGTTGGCGAAACGGGTAGGCCACTCTGCATACGTATAAAAGAACACCTAGTCGGTAAACGTAAGCTAAGTACTCCACTAGGTACGCATAGCACGCAGAAACATAACGGAGAAGATTTTGAAGTGAGGGTTACGATCCTCGCGCAAGAATCGAGAACACAAGCGCGCAAAACTCTAGAGGCATTCTGGATTTCTGGAGGAACTCTAGAGGCAATTCCAAGAATCCGAAAATGAACCGCAGGGAGGAATGCCTCGTTATCACGCGTGATATTGGACAGTATATAAACCTGTTATTCTGATGGGAGAGGCACATTACGCTTCTATGTGAATTCTGTGCGGTCGGTCTTCACGCGACATACTCAGTGAAAGACTCATAGAAAGCGGTGAGTGTGCAGAGCCATGCTAAATGTGATTGAAATCTTGGTTTAGCGTTATCTCTGTTTGGTTATGGAGGTGTTTGGCCGAGTGGATTGCTGTCAACTTGACCCTTCCAGGCTCTGAGAACGCCGAAACGTCAGCTTGTGCGTAAATAAAGAAATAAAATAGCACCTCGTGCTTGCTGAACAGAAGTAGAAAGATATATTCCTAACTTTATAAAGCGCAGGAAATTATACGAAGTATTCAGCTTACCAGACAGCTCTCAACAAATGCTGAGCATCGAAATAAAACTGCTACGCATTTCATTGCGGTGCACACAAAACGAAATGTTTACTTTATTAAACAAGTGTGTGTACAAAGAAAACCATTGTGCTCAGCATTTGGAGAGAAATCTTTGGAAGAGAATAGTAGCTGGGTCTAAATCGGTATGTGGAAAGATTCGGTGTGATATTAAGAGCAAGTTAAGGAAAAAGTTTGAATATCTATTAAGCCGATCAGAAAGGTCAAATCAAAGGACCACCGCTGGTCAAGTTGCAAGTAAAAACACTGAAATAGACTGCACCAAAAACATCCCGAGTTCCTGTGCTAGGAGGCGTAATGCTTCCGGAAAATGCGCATTTATTGTTAGAATTGGGTTCGAGTTTCTCGCCTAGTCAACTCATTTCTAAATCAATCCTGCGTAGGATCACGTATAGTCTGCATGAACATCAAGATCAACTACGTTACAGAGCTAGGCTAGAAAGGTTAGGCAAAGTAGTACCAAGGGGGGTACTACCACCAATACCTTTTCCCCGAACTTTCTTTAAACAAGAGCTACCAAATAGCGATACTGACTCAGTATTTCGTTTATTTTCGGACGACATTCTCCACATACTTAATCACAACCAAAAAGTAAAAATAAGCTCTTACCTCACACACCAACAAAAATGTGGTATGCGCCAGGTTAGAGAGCTTTTGAATTCAAAATCTATTAGACTTTCTATTAGTGATAAAGGCGGAAAATTTGTAGTTCTTCCTAGTCAGTTGGATATTAGGATAATAGAGGAGCACCTCAGTGATGTTTCTCTCTATCGAACATCCTCTGGAAAGGAATACAGAAATCAATACCGAAAATTGAATCAAGAATGGGTCAGCACGGCAAAGACCGCGGGTTTAGAGCCTTCAGTTAGTTCTCCACTTAAGAACGAACATCCTAGTTGCCCTGTCCTTTACTTGCTTATTAAAACACATGAGCTTACTTCAACTGATGATATTACGTCAACGAACCCAACATCACATAAAGTTAGACCTATCATCAGTTGTATAGGCGGGCCAATGGAAAGAATAACGCGGTTCCTAAACTTTACCCTGACCTAGTTGCTAAAATTCATTCCAACCTATCTACCTAACACCAAAATATTTCTAGACCACCTACGGTGCGCGCAACCAAACAGCAAGCATGTAATGGAGTCATTCGATGCTACTTCACTTTATCTCAACGTGTTGAATAACTCTGCAATTCAAACCATTCTCGAGTTGCTCGTACAGCGCGAGAAGAAAACAAAAATGTACAGCTTGTCGACTGCACAACCAAGCAGCAAACCATTATCCACGAAGATCTCCCAACTTTTACGTGTGGCTTTGGCTACGGCTTGAGGATTTTGATTTCATTTTGAATGTCGTAGAATATTGGTCGAGTCGATTCTCCCTTAAGTCCTGAGAAAGCCGGGCGGTAGAGTTCCCAACTGGATTGCATAGAGTGATGTTTTCTCAGACAAGTCCGGTAGCAATTTCCCGGAGGGATGAGAAGTTTGCCTAGCTCAATGCGGAATCATACAAAGATTAATGTCTATTCATAGGTTAACAATATCTTAATTTTTTATAATTGCCTATGCTTCATTCAAGATAGCATACCATGTGAACACCAACCACGAGGATGCTGAGATATGAGCGAAACTCCCAACCTCAGGTGCGCTTCGAATGTTATTTACCACATCAACGGAGGTCCTTGCTTGGTCTTTTTCTTAGCCACTCCTTTTTTACTCTAAGGGTGCTATCAGCCTCCAGTCGTCAACATTAATGACTTAAGGATCATGAATCGGCATTGAACCCAGTTAAGCTGGATCTTTAGTCGAAGGGACAGTTGTTGTGAAGGACAGCACGTGAGCCTTTGGTAAGGATAATCATGGGCAGGAAACTCCACTGAGGTTCCGAGTTGACCCTATATGTCAACACTCCTGTGGTGATTGGTAGGCTTAGCTTTATATGCAAATTATGTTAGGGATGGAATGTATCATATGACGCACATAGAATTTCCTTGTTTCACTGATAATGGTAAAATGTGATAACTTGTATGGTGTGGGCATTTACCTGATAAAACTTGCAGAAATGATGACACATATGTACCTTTTGTGCACTCTGAGTCACAGAATGACCTTTTCTATGTCCATAAAAATCAACTTTTGAAACCGAAAACCGGGTCAGAAGTAAGCCTATACGAGAAAATGCTACTAGTTTGACAGAAATTGTGATAAGGTATCAAACAGCCTTCTGAACTACAGTGCTAGAATAGTAAAGACAAAATTCCGTGATGCTATGCAAATTCTTTAGTTTTATAACTTCTTCCAAATGGGTCGTCATCATATCATGGGTGAAAGGTTAGAGTGTGTTCTCTTGTGTTGAGGAACGTTGTATAACGTCGCTCTTATCTAAACCAAGATCAAGGATCGTTTCAATCTGGAAGAAACATAGTCGAGCGGTAGCAAATTTCCCTCCTATTCAGACTAGGCTATGTTTTGATGGTGATCTTGGAAAACCTTGGTAAAGGTTCCTAGTAACCAAAAACATTTAGGTTAAACTAAAAATATCCTTTCACTCGCATGAATCTTTGAGAAAGACAAATCACTCATAAAGCAAGTAGACTTTCGACTTCATTGGAGTGCGCTTTTAGTACATAGCATAATCACAATATTTATCAATACTCCAAATCGCACACCCCAACTGCTTAGGCATACGCTCGAGGCAATTTGTATATAATTCTGGCGATCGGAAATTTAAAAAACAACAAGCATTATTCTCAAGTAATGTTTGTAGTAGATGGCATCACTAGGTAAAATGTTTAGAACCCAACCGTAATCTAATGGATTAAAATTCAGTGTTCGGGCCAAGGCAGAACTGCTAAGAAAGCCTGAAACTTTTACATGGTTGCTTTTGAAAAGTGTGAATGAGCACAGATATAGAGTGGAGAAAGCAATTTGTTACATTTTAGATGTTTTTTTTGAAGTTCGGCAATATAGACAAAGGCTATTACGGCAGAATCAGTTTTTAAGAGCTCATACTAAAAAAAATTCTTTCAAATCTCAATAAGAAGAAGGATAATATAACCACAATGATGCTGAGATATTTGCAAAACTCTGGACCGCAGGTGTATGCGGTGGCGATCGAACACGCCGTTACCCATTTCGGGGCTAACGCGTTCACCACCACAACATGTCGGCCCTCCGTTTCCCCTTTCTCACAGCTTGTTTTCTATCTACCAGTGCCATCAACAATCATCCATCAACGACATTGATCTGGAGAGCACAAATCGGCATTGAACTCAGTTAAGCTGAGGCCGCAATCGAA